AAAACCTTCGATTCGAGATCCCGCTGGTGTTCCTTTTATTTGTTCGATGAGTTCAAGCAGACTTTGACTCTGAAGCTTTGTAGATTTGTATAGATTTGTGTCGTTGATGAGGAGCAGAGAAAAGGGTTTCTTTAGCCAGGTTTGGCTATATTGAGGTAAATAAAGCGGTTACGTCGAAGGATATCATCATTTCGTCGTTGTCAATTTGAATCCTCTTGAGTTTATCCAAGAATTAGTAGCAATCAACAAACACATCGACATTGACTCAATAATTTATCAACCAATCAGAAAAATCATAGGTGACACAGGATCAAGAAACAGATCAAAAGGGGGGGTGCAATCAAAACAAAGGTGCAAACAACGACAGGCATTAAAGGTCAACAGCAACCAATCAAGATTGAGGTTAACAGAACAAGCTACTGGGTCAAACATGGAGAAATTCGAAGTTTGTGCTGATGTTGATGTTGTTCAGTAGAAGAAGAACAATGAAAGTTCCACAACCAAAACAACATTCAGCTCAGCAAACCAAACACCACCACAATCATCCATCTGAGCTACAAGTTTTCTCCACCATCTCAAAATCTTTTTTTTTTCTTCAAACATTTCACTGATTCAATTCTAATATATGATAATTTTACTTAATCAACTGAATACATCATAAGCTGTCAATAAAAAAAACAACAGTGTATAACTCACAATATTACTATGATTGACAGCAACATCAGTAGTAGTATTATCATCATTATTGATTAAAATCAATGGATGTAATTGTATGCCAGTGATATCACCTAATATCACTAGCATAGCTTCTGATTTAAACAAACGAAACAATTGATCACATTGATCAGGTATATTATTACTTGATGTCGCACTGTCTAAACAATCATAATTTCTATGTGTAACGGAAAAGAAAGAAAAAGTAAATTATTTATTTACAATCTTCACAACTCCGTAATGCAATAATTACCTGTGCTCATTAGTGACTAGCTTCGTGAGGAATCTTCTCCGAGTTCTAGTGGGAAGTCGTGACCAGTGAAGTTCAACCTGTTCGGGTGTAGACAGTAACTACCGAAGACTATGTATGAAGTTTCGCAACTCTGTGAATCGACCGAGTTAGACATTAACGCCGTTAGATGCACGCTCAGTAATCCTGAGGTTGGGAGTTCGCGCACAATACCGAAGGTCCTGGGTTCGAACCTTGCGGGGTGCAGGATTCGTGGATGCGCACTGCTGATGAGTGACATAGCAGGACGAAACGGCCGTCCAGTGCTTCCAGGTTTCTAATGGTGGTCTAACATTGATCGATTATTCATGATTTCAAAATGATAGAATATTTGTTTAGACTGTAAATCATATATGTTGAATACTGAATGATGTACAATTGCAATGTAGTTCTTTTTTTTCAATGTTTAAAAATTCCAATGAATGATAAACAAAAACTTTCATTGAAATCATGAATACGTCAATGTTAGACCACCATTAGAAACCTGGAAGCACTGGACGGCCGTCTCGTCCTGGTATTGTGGGACTACTACTCGTCAGCAGTGGCAGTGCGCATCCACCACTCCTGCTACTCGCACGACTCGAACCAAGGACCTTCGCTTTTGCTAGCGAATGCTTAACCTCTGGATCACTTAGCCAGCATCCTATGGTGTTGATGTCTAACTCTAATCAATTGAAGGATTTCGCACAACCTCACCAATTGTCATTGGTAGTTATTGCCTATACCCAAAAGGTCACATCTCCCTAGAACACCGAGAAATTCCTTACGAAGCTAGTCACCAGTGAGCACATTTTATGGTTTTTTGATTAGAGAATTATACAGATCATTGTTTTTCGCACATTGAAATCATCAATCAATCAATCATTGTTAGACCAACATTAGAATTCCCAGTGGTCCAGAATTTAATCGTTTGCTCATAAGATTGAAGGTCCCAGGTTCGAATCCTGCGTGGTACAGGAATCGTGGATGCGCACTGCCACTGATGAGTAGTCCCACAATACCAGGACGAAATGCCCGTCCAGTTTCTTCCAGGTATCTAATGGTGGTTCTCACGAAGCTAGTCATCACTAGTGAGCACATTTTATGGTTTGTTCATTATAGAATTACAGAGAACGTTGTTTTTACACATTTGAAATCATGAATCATGCTCATGAATCCCATACTATAGGACGAAATGTCCGTCTTTCAGTGCTTCCAGATTTCCAATGGTCGTGGTCAAAAATCGAATGATGCATTCATGATTTTCAATATAAGTAAAAAGAACGATCTCCATAACACTAACTATAATACAAATTACTTTGTATTGTAACAAATTGAATTGAGAACAGAAATCGATAATTTAAAACAAAAAGGAATGTTTCAATAATCTGTGACTAGATATTGAAGAAGTCGAATCAATAATTGTGTTCTACATACCTGCTAATACAATACATATAAATAAATATTCTTATACAAATTATAATTGATGATTAAGCAAGTAAGTAGGTGAGTGAGTGAATTGGTTGTTTGTTTTGAATACTAATTATTAGAAAGTATCAAAATCAAGCTTTTTTTCCTGATCATCGACTGGATTATGAAGACGTCGACGCCTGGAGGGCAGAACGGTATCAACTGGACAGTTAGGACGCAGATGGACGATCTGGACTTCTCAGATGACCTGGCTCTTCTATCGCACACGCAACAACGAATGCGAGAGAAGACGACCAATGTAGCAGCAGTAGGTCTCAAAATACATAAAGGAAAAACCAAAATTCTCCGAAACAACACAACATGCACCAGCCAAATCACTCTTGATTGAGATGCTTTGGAGGACGTTAACACCTTTACATATCTGGGCAGCATCATCGACGAGAAAGGTGGATCCGATGCAGATGTGAGGGGGCGGATCGGTAAAGCAAGGTCTGCATTTCTACAGTTGAAAAATATCTGGAACTCTAAACAACTTTCAACCAAAACCAAAATCAGGATTTTCAATACAAATGTGAAGACAGTTCTACTGTATGGAGCGGAAACCTGCAGAACTACGAAAGGCATCATTCAGAAGATACAAGTGTTTATTAACAGTTGTCTACGCAAAATACTGAGGATTCGTTGGCCAGACACCATCAGCAACAACCTATTGTGGGAGAGAACAAACCAGATTCCAGTGGAGGAGGAAATCAGGAAGAAGCGGTGGAAGTGGATAGGACACACACTACGAAAAGCACCTAACTGCGTCACGAGACAAGCAGTTACATGGAACCCTCAAGGCAAAAGGGAAAGAGAAAGGCCAAGGAACACATTACGCCGAGAAATAGAGAAAGCTATGAGAAGAATGAACAAACATTGGACAGAACTGGAAAGGAAAGCCCAGAACAGAGTTGGTTGGAGAAAACTGGTTGGCGGCCTATGCTCCATTGGGGGTAACATGCGTAAGTAAGTAAGCAAGTAATTGAAATCAATAATTGGATGAGAGATGATCCAGTATATACTGAAGATGGATTCGTTGATATTCTAATGAAAAATAACTAAGAACGAGATTAGTTAATTTTTAAATGAGAATATATTCATCTAATCAGTCAGTTAAACGTAATGTACAGCTTGATACACATATATATCATTAGGGAGCTTAGATTTCATGACTGACGAAATCTCAGCTCGGATACAGAAGGCTCGATTGGCTTTTGCCAACCTGCGTCACTTATGGCGCAGGCGAGATATCCGTTTGCTAACCAAAGGACGAGTGTACTGCGCAGCAGTTCGCTCCGTCCTACTGTACGGATGCGAGACTTGGCCGTTAAGAGTAGAGGACTTCCATAGGTTACTAGTCTTCGATCACCGATTTCTCCGAAACATTGCTCGTATATCATGGGACAACCGTATAGGCAATGCTGTCGTTAGGAAACGGGTGCTAGGTAAGGATGGCAGATCAGTAGATGAAGTATTGAAACTTCGTCGGTTGAGGTGGTTGGGATATGTGTTACAAATGCCTAACCACCGACTGCCTCGATGAGCTATGTTTTGCAGTGTAGGAGTAGATTGGAAGAAAGCTAGGGGCGGCCAAACCAAAACATGCCACAAATGGATGAAGTCACTGACAGGTGGACTGAGTCATGCTGGTAGGTGTCGACTACCTGGTTGATAGTAATGATGATAGTAATCGATGCTTATAGACCCTGAATGAGATGACCCAAAATCGTTTGCACTGGCTTAGGTGCATCCACTCTTTGTGTTCTATGAAATTCTGAGTTTATGCATTCCTCATAATCTCTACCTTTCTCCTTCTAAATTTATCTCACTGAATTATGCTTCTCGAATCATATCGTATCTTCGCTCCCTAATCTTCTCCATTACTGGTAATACTTCTATTGTTGCTATCACTCTTGGATTTGAACTGACAGTTGTGTCTCCGTGCTGATGGGGCATGGCAACCTGAACTGATGTACTCACATACGAAGTTCTGTGTTGTATCTGTCTGTCTGGAGTTGTGAAGATTGTTAGGTTACACATTTTTGAAACCATGAATCGATCAATGTTAGACCACCATTAGAAACCTGGAGGCACTGGACGGCCGTTTCGTCCTGGTATGGGACTCCTCGGCATTGCGCATCCAAGACTACTGCAACCAGGACCTTCGGTATTGTGCGCGAACGCCTAACCATCGGACCACTGAGCAGTCCCATACCAGGACGAAACGGCCGTCTTTCAGTGCTTCCAGGTTTCTAATGTTGGTCTAACATCGATTGATTCATGGTTTCAAAAATGTGTAACATATATATCAGACCAAGTTGTCAGTAACATTAAGGACTTGTGTAATATTATAGTTGAACCGCCATCAAATTTCTTCTAGTCTACTCCTACACTAGAAAACACCGCTCACTGAGGTATGTGGTGTTTGGACATAAGTAACACATGCCTCAACTAACTCAACTGATGAAGGCCCTTTGTTTCATCAATTGATTAGTCATCCTTAACTATTTCCATTTCCATGACCCAGTCACTGTTCACTCAGTGCTACCGAAATAAATAAATGGCCGATGTTTCGAATAAAACTATAACCGAATGGTTAAAATCTACAAATATGCTGGATACTTGTCAGTATCTTTATCACAAAGTTCAATAGCACCTATGTATTCTAATACGGCAAGTGAATCTCCTCGTAGAAGGTCAACTCCTGAAAAGTCAGACGATGAAAGTGTTGTCTCTAAAAGCATGTCACTGACAAAGTTGAGTAAGAGTGGGTTAAGTGGACAACCCTGACGAACACCATTCGAGGCAATCAATCAATTCTGATGACAGGCACTAACTCGATCAGTAATGTTTCGAGTTGATAGCCTGTATAAGGTTACTGTACAACTGTACGATACAACACTCAATGACAGACAATCGCAGAACCTCACTAATGACAGAGTCAAACGCCACATTAAGGTCAACGGATACAACAACTTTCGGACGTCGAAACGTGCATCTATGTTCTAGAACCTGGACGAAGAGTGAATATTTTGTCGATATACCCACATCGAGGTGTGAAACCAACCTGGTTTTGTCGAGTTTCCCTTTTTATGAGCACTGGTGAAGCGTTAACATTTTCCGCACTATCTAAGTTAAACTGATTCCACTGTGATTGTCACGAGAGGACTTTTGTCGTTACTTATAGACTGGGACAATCAGTGCTTGAAACAAGTCAGATGGGATTAAGTCTACTTCTCAGATTTTACCAAAGATCTCAGTCAATTTAACTGCTAAAACTGGATCACCATATTTAAAAATTTACGAGGTTAATCCATCATGTCATGCTGCTCTTTCTCGCCTTAGGTTGTCTATAACCTTTTAAACCTCAATAAAATCAGTCAGTTTGTTTGGAGTTGGTGGGTAACCAAAGTGTGGCTGAGGGCCAGTTGAACTGCACC